CAAAAGCTGCTAGCTACCAAAATGTAATATTGTGTTGGTCTCTGTTCAGATGTGAGCATAATAGAAATTATTTTTGTAATTGGCAACCTCGTTAGTCTTAGCAGAAAATCCAGAATTGAATGAATGTAATTTTCCTCTTATCCAGAGAGGGGTGATCCTTTCATATCAGGAAACACCATTGTCAGTTTGGTACCCTCCAGAAGCATACAGGTCCCAAATTCACTTCATTGCTTCCTTGTACTCCATCCATTTTATTGTCTTACCTCTGATACTTAAACTGTTAGATCTTAAGGGCAGAAGCCAGCTTTACATTCTATATTTGTACAACACAGCACAACAAAGTCCTAGTCCGTGATTGGGACCGCTAGGTGTTACTACAATACAATTCATTAATAATGGAATAAAATAATGAACGAAAGGAATCTTGTACTAGACAATGTCACTCATTAATAGATTTTATGAATTCTTTAAGTCCAACATTTTCTTAATGAAATTGTATCATTTCTTCTAACAACGAAAGAATGAAATATATGCCTGAGTGAAGGAGTAGCTTAAAGCTTTTATCCATTTAACTCCTGCTCAAGTAATATGTTGAGGGGCACTTACACAACATGTAGGTATAGAAATCCCAAATATTGCTTACCTTCCTAATGGCATTGTCCAAAGCTGCCTCTCCTACACCTCTTCAAATTCCCATTTCTGTGGCAGCTACAGCAAAAGCCTCATTAGGAAAATAAAGTCTCTTTAGCTTCCTCTGACGAAACAGTTCACAGTAATGGACCATAACAGTCAGCCATAACTGAAGAAAATACTTACTCAAGTCTTTAAGTCCTTTTGTGAATAAGTATACTCTTTTGAGTCAGAGCTGTCAGGATTTGTAGTAAAAACTGTCTCTTATGGCTGTAAGAAATAAAAATTTCTGTTGTTAAATTCAGCTGCTTGACTTGATAGGTCTTGCACCAAGCTGACTTGTAAAGGATGTCTGCAGGGACAGATCTGGGGGGGTGAGAAGGGGTGTTGGTGGTGCCGTTACACCCCCTTTGATTCCTGCTTCATTCAAAGTTTGCAGCAGACTTCCCAGAAGGGACAGCCACATTTCTATTCAGGCAGAGCTGATGGTGTTAACTGACTTAATGGCACATTATTATTAGGGCTGTGCGAAGCTTCAGGTGCTGATTCGATTTGGAGGAGATTTGGCCTGATTCGGTGGCCGAATCTCTGAATCCAAATCAAATCAGGGGACCAGTTAAAAGGTCTGAACCAATTTGAAGCTCTCCAAATTGCTTCAGAAAAGATTCAGAGAGCTTCAGAGATTCAGTCAGTCCCTTCTTGCTGCCGCAGGGAGCTGGACCCAGGCTCCATGCTGGTAAGTAGGGGGTAAGGGAGGGAGTTAGAGGAGGGGGGGAAGGGACCATGGGGGGACCCCTGCCAGGCCCCATCCTCTGCCTGCTCCCCCAGCCCCACTGAGCACCCCCTTACTCCTGCCCCTGTGGGGGGCAGTGTGGGGGCAGCGGGGATTGCCCCCAGCCAGGCAGCAGCCAGTGAGACTAGGGCAGAGGTTTGCTTTTTTTTCAAAGGGGCTGGGGTTGGGGGGCAGACATGAAGGGGGGGACTGGGAGAGCAGGCGGGGGTTGGGGGGCTTGTGACAGAGCCCCTCACGTTGCGTGGGGTAGTGGGGGGCAGCCGGGATTCCCCCCCCCCCCCCCTCCCCCGCACCCGCC